CACAGAGAAACGGGGGGGGGGGGGGGGGGGGGGGGCACGGACAATGACAAACTCCTAACAGTGTATTTATCTAAAATGCCTATCAAACATCCAAGGCCAAATGAAACAACACCTGTCTCCTACGTCAGGCGGATAGCTTTATTTCTGTGCAATTTAGGGTGAGACCCTCCTTTCTTATACGACCTTACTTACTAACAGACCTCTAACTTCTTACCTAACCACTTCTAGGAATGTAGACTGAGCACAGAGATCCCCTTTTGATATACTAACTAATCATTAGCTCTCTACTGACCTCCTCCTTTACCACTCCCCTTTTGGGTTGTTTAAAAAAAAAAAAAAAAAAGCCTGACAGTCACTGCTGGGAGGAAAATTCTTACCTACTTTTATGACCCCATAAGAATTCAAGCCTGGTGACCTTGCTCTGCCAGAGGATTGCTATTGTTTGGGTTTATAACTGGATTCCTGAGAGACATAGAGAGAACCTAGAATACAGAGAACTGAGAGGTAGAAGGAGAGAGAGGAGGATTTTTGAAGAGAGAACTTGAAGGCGAGACAGAGAAGAGACAAGAGAAGAAAAGAACTAGATGGGTAAGAACCGAAGAGGAATGAACTAGATGGGAAGAACTAGATTGAAGGCTAAAAGAGAGTACCAGAGGAACAAGATGGAAGATGAGGAAGAGCCAGATGGGGAAGAACAAGTTGAGGGAGAACAAGATGAGAAAGGAGGAGATGGGAGAGGAGCTGAAATGGGAAGGAACTAGATGGATGAGAACTTAAATTGGGGCAGAACTAGATTAAGGAATTAAGATAGAACTTAGAGGGGACAGCAGAGAGTAGAGAGAAATCAGGCAAGAAAGGAGCTAGGCATGAGAGCAGAATAGAAGCTGTGTAGAGAGAGAACTGACACAGAATAATAATAAAAGGAAGAAGGAGGAGGAGGAGGAGGAGGAGGAGGAGGAGAAGAAGAAGGTGTATAGACCAAGGAGTTTTATGTATAAAGATTAATTTCTTATCCTCATACATCAAATTATCAGCTGATTGTAGATTCATCATGGGCCCTGGGAGGGGACTATCGAGGGGCTGGACCCCCACAGTCCTGCTTAACTTTACAATCCCCTAACAGCACTGCAAAATTATTACTACAATTGTCTTCTAATGTAAAGACAATAAGGCAGTTCAGGACTAAAAAGAGATTCTGAGTATCACCACAAGGCTAGGAGTAGGAATAAATATTCCGAGGAACAGAACCACCCACAAACTACTCATATTAAATCATGCTATTATGTAGCAAACAATCACCTAACAGAAAGTGGGATAAATGCCGGGCGTTGGTGGCGCACGCCTTTAATCCCAGCACTCGGGAGGCAGAGCCAGGCGGATCTCTGTGAGTTCGAGGCCTGTCTCGAAAAACAAAAAAAAAAAAAAAAAAAAGAAAGTGGGATAAATTCTGATTTAGATAGAGCAAATTATATTTGATTAACGTAAGAAATAAAGTTAATACTGGAAATTATCACAAAATAAAATTTCAGAAACCTACAAGTGACTAAGAAAAATAACTGAGTTGAAGTTCAAATCAAATCCTATAACTATGAAAACTCAGGAAGTGAGTGGCTCAATGATCAGAAGCAAATGGCTGTTCTTGCAGAGAACCTGGGTTCAGTTCCCAGGCCCTAGATGGTGACTCACAATCATTTGTAACTCTAGTTCCAGAGGATACAATGCTATCTTCTGACCTCCACAGGTAAACCAGGCATAAAAGTGGTACAACTCTCATACTCATAAATAAATCTTGTAAAAAATGTTTGATTTTTTTGAGAGCATAAATCTGTGTGTGGTGGCAGGCAAAAATAATCTCATCTATTTGAGATGATGAGGCTGAAAGACCTCTTGATCCCAAGTTTGTTGCCCAGGGAACATACCAAGACTCCCATCTCAAGATAAAACAAAAATGGAACAAATCATTTCACTAGAGATCAAGCTTAGAATCAGAGCACACTTGGCTCAAGGCGGAGCATGTATCTCTCTTTAATCTTTATTATTGTTTTATGTGTATAGGTGTTTTGCATGTATATCTGTGTACCACTTACATGTCTTATGCCTGTGAAAGCCAGAAGAGGGCATGAGACCCTCTGGAACTAGAATTATAGATAGATATAAGCATGTGAGTGCTGGGGGCCAAAGTGTGTTATCTCTTAATACAAAATATACTTCTGCTATAATTCTTTCTCCTAGCCTCATATTAAGTTTTCCTACAGGATACGCCATTAAGTACTGTAATAATGACAATACATAGAACCCATCCGCCAAATCACTTATTGACAAACTGTGATATAGTATGGCTCACTATTGATGTTTGATGACTCTGTTTTCCCCTCATCTTCAGTCATCATATCTGTCATTGTAAGCAATTCTGTATCAAGAGGATCTGAAGAAACTTTGCTTTTTAGGTCCTCAACTGTGGCAGGAATCTTCTCACTGCTGTCCAATGGAGCAGGCAGAAACACAGGAACGGGCACCTAATTAATCAAAGCATTTAATGTTAGGTATACTAAACAATACAAGGTATTTCCTCAAATTAAATGCATATCTATTACTATACAAATACATTATTGAAGAAAATGTTTGGCAAGAATGCATAACAAAACTAAGATGTGTACTATGGCAAGGAAATCCCAGAATACAGACACTTTAAAAAATAAAAATTTAGGAAAAATAAGCCAAGCTCAAATAGAGTATTCTACATATTATAGGTGATTTGTAACAAAGTGAACATTTTAAGAACCTCTAGTTGGGCTGGAGAGATGGCTCCAACACTGGCTGCTCTTCCAGAGGTCCTGAGTCCAATTCCCAGCAACTACATGGTGGCTCACAACCATCTATAATGAGAGGTGCCCTCTTCTGGAGTACAGGTATATATGCAGGCAGAACATTGTATACATGATTGATTGACTGATTAATTGATAGATTAGATAGATAGATAGGTAGGTAGATAGATAGATAGATAGATAGATAGATAGATAGATAGATAGATAGATAGATAGGTAGATAATGAACTTCTAGTCTGTTTCAGTTCTAAACCTTGTGGTTTCAACAAAACATTTCCTTTGAAGATGAATTCAAATATAAAATATAGTATCAGTACAGCATGTACACCCATCTGCTCAACTTAACTCTCTGGGATGACTATAAATAAAAATAAAGAGCATTATTATAGTAACAGGACGCTGAAAAAATCTAACTGGAAGAATAGAAAAGATGGCCTCTGTTGGGTGTACATGTCAACTGCTCTTCATATGCTCATGTGTTTGAACACTTGGTCCCCAGCTGCTGGTGCTGTGTTGGAAGGCTGTGGAACCATTAGGAGGTAGAAGGAAATGGGTCACATGGGATAGGCTTTGAGGTTCTATAACCTAGCCCTACCTCTTTCGGTCTGCTTCCTGACTGCAGATGCAGTAAGGCCAGCAGCTCCCTCATGCTTTTGCCTCCATGTCCTCCCTCCTAAATCATGACCCAAAATAAAGCTCCTCTGTCCATGAAGTCATTTTTGTCACAGGAACTGTAAATAGTACAGCTTCTCCAGCATCACCAAGCCAGTAAAATAAGTTTCCAAACTGCTTGCAAAAACTAGAATGCAAGGGTAAAATCTCACGCACAGGAACAGGAACTGTGGTAGGGACAGGAATATTCTGGCTGTACATGTGCATAGGCACAGGGACATAAACAGGTACAGGAATAGGCACTGGGACATACTCTGTCTTCCAATTCTCATCTGAAAAACAAGACACAGCAAAGAAGAACATGTGTTTTACTTTGAGACATAATCTCACAATGTTGTACAGGCTAGCCTTGAACTCATGGCAATCCTCCTGCTACAGCCTTCTACATCCTGGGATTACAGGTATGAGCGATGATAATGGCATTTTGTTTTTATAAACTTGCTTTGTAGCCTTAAACTAGCCTTAAACTATTCATAGAGATCCTCCTGTCTCTGCCTCCACAGAAGTGCAATTAAAAGCATATAACCACCAAGCATGACTTTTCACAGTGGTTTTTTGTTTCTTTGGTTGCTTGGTTTCATAATAAACTTAACTGGACAACAAGGGAAAATAACTTTGCACTCACTTAAAAGAAATTTCTAGCCAGATGGTGGTAGCTCTTGCCTTTAATCCCAGCACTTGGGAGGCAGAGGAAGGATCTCTGCAAGTTCAAGGCCAGCCTGGTCTACAAAGCAAGTTCCAGGACAGCCAGAGCCATTAAAACTTTGTTGTTTTCTGCAACACCTGTTCTAACTTAGAACAAACACAACTTACACTTTTTAAAAAATGGAAGAAGGAAAATATATATATTTAAAATATACTTCTATATCCAGCAGACTGTTCTGGCAATTCCCTTCAGTTTATTTACTTAAAACAATTAAAATGTAGCGAACACTGAGCTGCACAGTAGCCTACTCCTGTAATCCCAACACTCAGAAGGATTGTATTCAAGGCAAACCTGTATACAGCAAGACAGAATTCCCAAAATATCAAAAGGAAACAAAGAACAAAAACAGTTAATGCTACAGATGTTAAATAAGCACCTAAATTATTTAATATCTTTATGACCAGGAGGAAAAAGAACTATCTTTGTTATAATCACAAAGAAAGAGTTCTCTCAACAAGAACTATGCAATTGTAGGTTATCAGTTCAAGAAAAGTTTTACAGAATTGTGTGGTTTTTAACAAGTTATACTCTAGGCCTTTAATCGGCTATTAACAGATCATAAGTAGTTGAAACAATATGCTTTATTCCCAAGGCAATTTAAAAAAAAAAATCACAGGTGAAAATCAAAAGGATAGGGCATCTATTCTGTAGCCTTCACTCTAGAAAAGCATGCATTTTAATTCAGTAACATCTAAGCAGGAGGTACAATTCAAAGGATCCTAAGTTACCTGTCTGACAAGATTTGGTCTGCATGTGAGGCTTACAGTAAGTTGCTTTTGTCATTGTTAAAGGTTTGCAAAGAATTGCTTTGTTCTTCATCTCTTTGTTTGGTGTAGGAGAAGGGGGTGGTGCTGAGCCCTACAGAGAAGCAAAGAGAAACATTTTATTTTTGTAATTTTTGTAACTTCCTAGTGTCAATTGTCTGTTTTCTTTCGTCTTTTCCTCTCTTTCTTTTTTTTTTTTTTAAATCTATTTATTTATTATATATGCAGTGTTCCAGAATGTATGCCTACATGCCAGAAGAGGGCACCAGATCTCATCCTAGATGGTTGTGAGCCACCATGTGGTTGCTGGGAATTGAACTCAGGGCCTCTGAAACAGCAGCCGGTGCTCTTAACCTCTGAGCCATCTCTCCAGCCCCTCTTTCTTTTCTTTCTTGAGGCAGAGTCTTACTATGTAGTTCTGGCTGGTCTGGAACTCGGTATGCAGACCAAGCTGGCCTCAAACTCACAAGAGATCTACCTGTCTTTGCATCCAGAATGCAGGAATTAAAGGCATGCGCCATAAAGCCCAGCTCATTGTCTGTTTTCCAAGTCCTAAGGGGACTTACTTCCACAAAAAATGGGGAAGTATAACTAAATGTTACTACTAGTAGTTTACCAGTCTTAATCTGTGAGGGTTAACGTTACTCTAAACACTGGCGAGCCGCAGGAATTCATTCTTCAGAAGAGTCTATGAATAGGAGTGTTTTAAGAAAAAATATGAAAACAATGATCTCTTAAGTATCAGTGAACTCAACTGTTAAAGAATTGGCTCATTTATATCTATTATTCTTACAGCTATTATGGCTAACATTACAGCTTCCTATACTGTATTGATGTACTCTAATACTGATAGGTGAAATAACTAAATATAGAATACAAGTTCAGTCAATCCTCAACAATTAAGGTAGCTACTTTCTTCACATACAGTTTCCTTGAACAAAGAAGTAACCCATATGGAACATGGCTGCAAAGAACTTAGGGGACTGGGTTCCTGTGAGCCTCTAGTTACATTTTCATCAACTGCTCCATTTGTTTTAGAACCTTTACTGGCAGTAAACTTTCAGTTACAGAATTTTTGTGTAATGATCTCACTGCACTAAGACCAGATATCTCTATCATCTCTATCTCTATCTCTATCTCTATCTCTCTCTCTCTCTCTCTCTCTCTCTCTCTCTCTCTCTCTCTCTCTCTCTCTCACACACACACACAGTACAGATAAAACAATCACACATTGTATAGCACTCACAAATCATATAGTACATGCATGTATCAGTAATGGCACATACATGCTACATAGTAATCACAGTAAGCACAAAACTCTAGAAACAATTATGCACTACATAATATAAAAAGTCCTGAAAATACACTAAAAAGATTCAGCATTTGAAGTTTAATCATAATACATTAAGTTTTACTCTCGTAAAACATCAGAATCTATGATGGTATAATGATTGATTTAATCTTTCAACCTTCATGAAATTCTTGAAAACCAAGGAAAGTTAGTGGCACTAGGGTCTTGTGACTTGTTGGCAACATGAAAGATTTTACCTCCCAAGCCAACTCCAGACCTTGTTTTAGCCTTGTTTAGTAATCTTGCCTCCAATCTTGATACAAAGCACATACACATGTGGTGCTTAACTCTGATGCTGTATCTTAAGCACAGGATCATATTTTTCCATACATGGACAGTTTTTTAAAGATATCTGTTCTATCTGTGCCATTTCCTCTCATGGCACCAAAGCCTTTCCTACTCATTCACTGTACAACATAAACTATGTACATTTTAAAAATTATGTATCTTTATTTCATGTGTATGAGTGTTTGTCTGTATGCACGTATGTGCACCATCTGCGTGCCTGGTGCCTAAGAGGTCAGAAGTGGGCATCAACTCCCCTGAAACTGGAGTTATGGATGGTTGTGAGCTACCATGTGGGTGCTGGGAACCAAACCCAGATCTTCTGCAAAAGCAGTAAGTGCTTTTAACTGCTGAGCCATCTCTTCAGTCTCTAAATTATGTTTTTAACATTTCTATTTTCTGTTACAAGAATTCAAGGCCTTCAAAACTTTTGCTCTAAACCAACACTTTCCTATCAATTAGCTAACAGTAACTTGTTTGATGTTCTCCTATGCTGTGTTAATGTAATAATAATGGCCAGTTGTCCATTGCGGTGGTTTCTTTGTTGACTCTAAGCCTTGCATCTTCCTCGTGCAGTATGCCTTGAAAGTTTGTAGTCTGGTAACAATTGTTTAAAAAAAAATTATATCCTGGCACATGTTAGTCAAGTGCACTTCTAATATTTAAATCATGAAGTCTCATGAAGTTTTCCAGGCTAGCCTCTGTAGACCACTTAGGTCTTAAGGTTTTTTTTTTTTGATCAAGCCCCAGCCACATCAAGCCTTAATTTTCAACTTAGTTAGACTGACTGTCTACAAGAGAAGTGAAACACATTCATGATGTTTCCAGAAATGAGTAGGACAAGAGGATTCTAGCCTAATAGATGGATTAATTCTTCAACAACTCTGAAGGCCAAGTTCTCTCCTTTTTGGTATGATGTATGTCCAGAATATTTTAGATATCCCATGTTTTTTCATCCCATCTCTAATAGAATGACATACAGTTCTCTTTTTTTTTTTTTCTTCTAAGTGTTCAGATACTGAGCACTGACACTGGGAGTTTGTTAAGTTGTTTTAGGCACTGATACAATTTCAAGGCTGCACAAACTGAATGATTTAAAACTAGGTACTGAAAATTATTAGTAAGTTTGCCAATGCCCTTGAGAATACCAGACACTCCTATCAGCTCTAAAAACTTCATATATTTTCCTGTAACACTTTCCAGATTCTTCATTGTCCTGATCTACATAACTTCCTTCAAGTTCAACTTTTTCAACATAACAAATGTGCAAGCAACTAGCACTAGCTGAAGTTTAACGTTCCACTAAAACTGATTGTCATGCTATAAGCAAAAAGCTTCACAACAATGCTTGGCATTACACCTTTTGTAAATAGGTCATAATCTCACAAATCCACACGTTGCTCTCTTTGTTATGTCAGTTCTTGGAGTGGCCTTCTGAACTGACTAGGAAACTCTTCCTTTCTTTCTCTAGTTGTTAGTATTTGTTTACTTTTGAAACAGGGTTTCCCTCTGTAGTTCTGGCTGTACATCAGGCTGGCCTCAAACTCACAGACATCTATCACCATTCACAACTGACTTGCTAATTTTAAATTCACACCAACCATACTCAAGCTTAACCTGAATGGCTTAACTAATACAGCACAAGAGGTAACACTTTAGCACCACACCTGTGGGTTCTTATAAGCAGCAAACTCAACAATAAAGATGCAAAAAATAAACAGAGTATAATGCGCCAAAAAAAAAGAACAGAAATTTCCAATTTCCAGAACGAACATGGAAACAGTAAAAATCATAGCACTGTTTACATTTATAAGAAATATGCACCTCAGGTGACCTGAATCACTCTATATGTTAAAGATGCCAGATAAGTAGGTTTAGTTAAGTTTGGGGAAGTAGGTAAATTTACAAAAACATAATAATGAAGACTGGCAATGCTGTAAAAACTTTGTGTGAGCCTGTAATCCCAGCACTCGGGAGGCAGAGGCAGGTGGATCTCTGTGAGTTCGAGGCCAGCCTGGTCTACAGAGCTTGTCCAGGACAGGCTCCAAAGCTATAGAGAAACCCTGTCTCGGGGGAAGGGGGGGACAACGGGAAAACGGGGGGACGGACAACTTTCTGTGAGAAAAACTTCTGGAAGAAAAGTGTGCTAGGATCCAAACCCAAGGCTTCGCATGTGCTAGCAAAGCAGCCCTTCCAGTGAGCTCTTTTCCAAACCCTTCGGTCAATTTTCTTTTTAATTAATAAATCAACATTCCTACTAGACAAAGAAGAAAAAAATTGTCAGGCAGTACATGAGGCCACTTCCAAACTTGAAGTGACACAACCTCTGGAAAGGTATGTATTAAAAAAAAAAATTTATAGAAGTGACTGGCTCACTTGATACACATAATCTATATGGTCATGAAGGGTGGCACTAGGAGAAGCTTATTCCAGATTCAGTGGATTCAGGCTACAAACTAATCAGAAATACAGACTCTAGAACAAGAAGGGAACTTGGGTCTAATCTGTTCATAAAGGCAAATCAATTTATACTTCAACCTCTTCAACTACATAGTGAAGAAAACACTTGGCAGGAGTATCTACCATATGCCAAGCATGATGTTAGGTTTGGGAAGTACCGTGATAGCCCTCTATGCCAGCTAGTTTTATGTCAACCTGACACAGGCTACAGTCATCTGAAGGAGGGAACCTCAACTAAGAAAACGTCTCCATAAGATCAGGCTATGAGCAAGCCTAAAGAGCATTTTCTTTTTTTTTTT